CAGAGAAAGAACAATGTTATGTGCGGGCAGGTCATGACTTTGCAAACACAAGCATCTTGAAATACTAAATCTGTAGCTTCCTACATAAGTATTGCGTTATATATTGTGGGGTGGGGGAAAATAGGTGGCCTTACTCTGCCGAAGATTAAATTATGGGATTTTTTTTTCTTATTTAATGAGAAATGCTTTCAGATATACCATAGTATGGGCTGGAATAGGAAATCTCTTAGGAGGACAGGGGTTGGAATGTAGCCTCCTTAGAACACAAGGAACACAGCGGGGAGCTCAGTTTGTCCTGGGAGAGGACTGGACACTGGCTGGGAAGTGGGTCGAAAGGAAAAAGCTGATTGATGGTGGGTATAATGCTTGGGTTTCTGGTACCTAAGTGAGAAATAGGGGATTTGCCTTTGTTTGAATGACTAATCACTGAAGAAGAGTTCAATGGGGGAGAAGGGATCCCAGCCTCTGCTTATGTCTTCTAGACTCAACCTCAAAAGACAGCTCCATTAAAAAGAGTAGCAGCTCCCATCTCCCATAGGCCTGGCACCCACCAGACTTAACTGTCCATGTGTCTGAGCAAAGACAGCAAGGGAGACACAGTCCCAGAGATGTCCATCCAGCCCGAATCCCAACTACTTCATCCTGAGGTCAAAGTAAGGAGAAAGAGCCTCAACTCTATAGAATTAAAAATTATAAACCCCATATTCTTTAATTCAGCTTTAAACAAAATTAAAAGCTAAAAATCAAAGGACATACGTTTTTTAATAGCTGAATCCTAGAGAGATTGAGGAACTTTGAGCAAAATTTTGAGAAAACAATGTCTTTGACCTAGCCATTGCCTTGTTAAGGTTAAAATATGGAAAATACTTGCTAGTCATAGACCTCAATGAGACTTCTGCTTCTGGAAAGCTGGAGTAACAGGGACTAGATATTTTCCCCCACCTGAAACAACCAAAAAACTAGACAAGAGTCATGAACAAATGGCTTTCAAGACAATGGGCATCAGGCAATTAAAGAAGGCAATCCCTGGTAGGAACAAATGATGGGACCCCCATAACTACGCAGCTGACTGCCGTGAGAGAGTTTACAGGCCTCAGTATGGGCAGGGGGCACTCAGGCAGAGCCTGGCAGACTCCTGACGCTGAGAAAACAGAGCTAGGAGTCTGGAAAGACTGAGTTAGCTAGAGCTGCAGAGCAGAGTAGGGGAGAGGAGGGAGCTGCACAGAGACAGAACTCTGGCTCAAGGGTCTCTCTTGAATATTCACCTGAGTAAGGATCAGGTCATGCAGGTGAGAAAACACCAAAGACAGGATAAAGAACCATCAGAAAGGATCAGAGGAAACAGTGCCCAACACTCCTGCAGGGCCTGGAATAGGGAAATGCTCCCACCAACCAGACTGCAAAATCTCATAATTCATAGAACATTGGAGGGTAGAGTACTCAGAAGAGTCTTGCCTCAGCAGGGGGAATAATTAGCCCTAGAATGACCACTGCTCTAGCCCCACCTAATAAGTCTTAAAAGCAAGACCTGAAAAAATCATACTGTTTCCGAGTAACTTAACTGTGTCCTAGACCTATGCTCAAGAATATATATAGGAATACAGTAATATCTAGCATGCACAAGATCTGGCAAAAAATTTCAGGCTTGCAAAGAAGCAGGAAAATATGTCCCTTAATGAGGAGAAAAACCAATACATTGAAACAAACCTAGAACTGACACAGTTGTTAGAATGATCTGACATGGGCACTAAAACACTTATTATGACTATATTCCATATGTTCAAGAAGCTATAGGAAAGATGCAATATGTTAAGTGGAGATACGTAAGATACTAAAAAAGACCCAAATTGAACTTCTAGCAATGAAAATGACAATGCCTCAAGTAAAATTTACATTGGATGGGATTAGAGATTGTAGAAGAAAATATTAGTGACATGAAGACATAACCATAGAAGCTATCCCAAATGAGACACAGAGATTAAAAAAAATTGAAAAAGTGAAAATTGCATCAGTGAGCTGTGCAGCAACTCTAAGAAGCCTAAGATATAGATGTTTGGAAAATCCCAAAGAGGAGGGGAAGCATTTGAAGAAATGTTTCAAAGAAAACTTTGTTTCAAGAAGTCCAACAAACTCTCAGCACAAGAAACATGAAGAAAATTATACCAAGGAATATCAAAATCAAATTGTCCGAACACTAATGATAAAAACAAACCTTAAAATCATCCAGAGAAAAAAGAGTACTATGTATAGAGTTAACAAAGATAAGAATGGCAGCAGATTTCTTATCAGAAATAATCCACACAAGGAGATAGTTGAGTACCATCTTTAGAATACTGAATGAAAAAATTGTGTGGGTAAGCATTAACTATTTTATGTATTATCTAAATCTTTCAAAAAGATCATTGACTATTTAACAAACTGATAACAATGTAGTGTGGGGTTTATGATAAAGACCTAGAAGAGTCTACAAAAAATAAAAAGCTATTATTATAAAATCGAGTAATTTGTATGGAACAAGCTGCCTGAGAGATATTCTTTTAACTTGGATGTGAAAATTTTACAAAGTCTTTAACCTGAGTAACAGAAAACTGTTTACTTGTTGTCAGAGGAAATAGTGTATACTCTTTGTATATTTATTATATGAAATTTGCTTACTTGCATTATATAATATTTAATTTGTGTAATATTTACACAAGTAATTTTACTTGTGTAATATTTAAGACTTCACTGATCTTGTTATATTTAACTTGATCAATATTAAAAATGTTCAGATCCTTTTAGAGTTAGGGAAAATATCACCTATCTTTCTCTTCATATCAGCTATGGGTACAAAATAAATGATGACTATGATAGTAACCTTTCAAAAGCTCAGAGCAGAATAATTTTTCAGTACTGTGCAAAGGGCTCTAGCTACTTTGGCTGGAAACCCTCCACTGAATAACCCTGTGAAGTGGGCAGCACATCCTCAAGAATTTTCCATACAGACTTCCTGTTTCAAGCTCCCCTTACGTGCTTAGGGCCCACAACAGCCTGTTTCTACTCTGCCCCCAGAGCTCCTCTGCAGAAGACAAAGTATGCAGATAGGAGAGGGCAAGATGGCAGTAACTTCCATTCCACACTCCCCACTCCCAGACTATATAAATGTTAGGGGACCCAAAGACATTCAATAGGAGGGGTTGAGACTTGCTGAAGGATGGACAAGATAGACTTTGCTTGAACCTCTTGCTACTTGCATATGTTTTGGTGCAAGATTTGCACCAGAAACTGTGGAGGACTCCCAGTACATCATTATTATTCCAACTTCCAAATAATCTCTAAACAACCACTATTCTGGAATATAAACTTCATGTATGAGTTTATACAATGCTTGAATGAAATTATATGTTAGAACACTAGAACAAAATGGTAAGTTGGAGTCCATTCATCCATTTGATGGCTAGTCCTTATCAGCGTGGTCCAAATGAAGATAAACCCCCACAAACATAAAGGGTCCCTAAAAGGTAGAAAGAGTAATTTCCTCCAAAAGGGGCATATTTGTGATGTTACTGTTGCCTTTTGTTAGCTGCCCCTGAAGACAGCTCTCTTGTACTCTCCAGGCATTTCTCCTCAGTTTAAATCTCACTACACCCTTTAAATCAGCCCTCACAGGGCAGCGTTTCCAGAACCTTTGTGTCTTGTACTTTTCAGTAAGTTCTTACTCAATAGCATTTGCTATAAAGCATGACACCCAGACCCAAATTCAGCAATGTAAAGCACAAACAAACAAACAAACCTCCGAAACTCATTTAAGTGAATTTGTAAAACAACCAGACTTTGAGAACCTCACTTTGATGGTGAGATCAAATGGTAGAATCAGGCATAGTCTGTCAGTATCAGAGGCTTATTTATATTGTGTTTGTTTTAGAAGTCAAACACATGCATCTGAATCATTTTGAGAGATTCACGAAGCAAAATGTGGGCCAATTTACAGGTAATTTCTTCAGGAGTCTAAAAATCCTTTCTCCTTATAAAGAACCTTTTCAGAAACTAGACTATAAACATTTAAAGGTTGAGTTTCCAAATTCTAAATATTCCCTTAGAGTTGCAGAAATTAAATGAGACACAGGACGACAATTCACCTAGCCCAGAATGGCTATGGAACAAACAGACAAACACAAATGTGTGTTGTTTATCCCTTCCACCACCTAACATATAATACGAGGGAGGGCTTGACTTTGAGGAAGGCAATACGGCATCTGGGTAAGAGGAATGGAAGTGGTACCCCCATGCCCAGGCCAACTCCACCCAGTTCCTGAAGCTAGGTAGGCCAAGACTGGAAGAAATGAGATGTCTCATTTCCACCAGTGGAATTTTCCCCAGGCACTTAATGTGACCAAGGAGCCATAGCTCTTCCTTACTCCAGTAGATTGGGGTCTTGACTTCCATCTTGCACCTACTACCCTTTTCCTTTAGCTAGATCTTATCACCCAAACTTTCCACTGCTGGCTGCATCCTGTTCCAAACCAGTTAGGTGAACAGAACCCTTCACCACCACCAAGCGTGCATGATTTTTTTCATGCCTCTTTAGACTGCTTGGTTCCCCCACCCTGAGTATCCCATAACTCAAGGGGGTGCAATTCTCTGCAATGCACGCTACTGAAATCCAGTTAGGCTCCTTGCCGAGTCGTCTAGAAATCTGAAGCCAGCTCTACCGGGTTCAGATTCTGATTCTCCTACTTACGAGCTGAGTGATCTGGAGCATACACCTTATCCTCTATGAGTCTGTCTCTTCATAGGGAAGAGAATGAATCTGGTAATGGTATGTTACTGGTGGGGTTGAGATGAAGATAATATTCAATGAGATAAACATGAATTTTACATGTGCATACTTCCGCACATGTAAAGGATTATATACACATGTAAATTTTAGCTATAGAACATCATTATTCATATTATCTATTATAACTAGATCACTATTAATATCGTTATGAAATCCAATTATTGATTATCATGATTTATATTAAAATACCTTTTTCAGCACACAACTGTCTTTGTGGAGTCAGATTTTATTCCTCCTAATTAGGTTGACTCTGCCTGGGGCAGAACTACTCTACTCACCTAGAAGTTTGGAAACATTTCTGCCTGGGAGGAGACAGATGCCTCAGGCACTTTGTCTGAACAATCACCAGATGGCAGCATTACACCAACCACAGAGTGGAGGAGCCAGGTCCCTGCCAAGGGGCCTCTACAATGGCTAAAATTAGTCAACCTGAAGGGTTGCTTTTCTGGAACTGCACTGGGAATAAAAGCTTCTGAATCCTAAGTGGAAAGTTTACTTTTAAAATAGTCTGAGTTCAGAGAGGCTCAGGAAAAAGAAAAAAAAACACCCTATGGAATTTAAACATAAATGGGGAGAGGGAGAAAAAGCAATGGGGTGGGAGAGGTGTGAAGTGTACTGAAGTGGGGTAGAGCAAGAGAAATGTTTCAACCTTAACCATCTTCACTGATCAATTCTACTTTTCCTATTTCATTGCCAAGCTCCTGTCTCTTTCACCCTCCAATGGTAGAAAATTCTGGGACCACTCTGGTGAAGATGAGTAACAGAAACAAGTTATCTAAGAGTTGGAATGAACATCACAGATCAGGCAAATGCAAATGCCTGTAGGAGGGGCAGGTAGCATAAGAATGTGAAGCAGGGGGAGACCACCAAGATGGCTAACTAGAGACACAGCTTGTCGGACTGTCCCAGCAGAAGAGTAGAGGGTTGAACTGAGGAGAGTGGAGAACAATTATTGCTCAGATGTGGACCACAGGGAGAGATGGCAGAAGATTTAGGGGACCCCATTGAGAGGAGTTGTGAGGCTGAAAGAGAGAAGGACAGAGAAGAGATATTGGTGACATGGGACAAATTGAGGGAGCCCTGGAGCCCAGTAAAAGGGTAAGGGGGCTCCCCTCCCCACCCTGGGTGCCTCTGGCCAGCAGCAGGACACACGCCTGTCATCCTGCGGGGGAGTGCCACAAGTGACCAGAGAGCCGACATTCTTACATCTGGATGCCTCACCTTCTGCACCTCCTCCCTTCCTGGCATCCCAGAAAGCAATATCGGCTCAAGCCAGCTTGTAGCCATGGCCCCCACCCCATAGCAATCACAAAAGTGCTCTGCTCTGAGAGGCTTATCTCTTGGTGAAGGGGACATATTCCCAACTGAACCTACCTTTGAGAGTGGAGCTGCTGTGGCAGCATTGCATGGGATCACCTGCTAGCAACTCAGACAGGCAGGCAGGACCTGGTGCCTCCCAGACACGAGAGTGGTACAGGGAGACTGCAAGTCCCCACCTCCCCCACACACACCATAGCGGCCACTAGAGTGCTTGGTGCTGAGAGGCCTGCTTCTCAGCAATGGGGGTACATTCCTGGTTGAGCCTGCCTGACAGCTGTAGTCTTCAATCTTCCTGACCACCGGCATTTGGCGGGATCACCCACTGGTGGCTGAGACAAGTGGGCTGAACCTGGTGTCCCCTGGTCGCAAGAGTGGGGCTGGGAGACACAGGGGAGAGGTTAGGGTTCAAGGCTTGAATGGAGAGAGAGCCCTTGCAGCCATATTCAATAGGAGGGTGTGGAGGGGCACAGAGGAACAGGGGTTCGTAAGCATGTCCTATCCCCCACCCATGCTGGAAAACCACCATAATGAAGAAGGCTGTGGCACTTGGATTGAATTATCTTAGCCCCTGGTTCCCATGGCAACTGAATGCCTAGGGTGTGCAGGCTTAACCAGAGCAGCAGCCCCTCCCACCACTCACTACAATAGGGAGTGCAGCTTGATCCAAGAGACTGCTGAGCTGCTGCTTCTCACCTGGTGGGAGCATGCCCCTGGAGGAGACCTCTGTGGATAGAGAGCCTACATCCCTCACCTTGGGATCTAGTGGTGGAACAGGGGTTGGAGATCCCCCTATGCACCAGCGTCATGCAGAGATGCACACCAGCAGATCAGACAAAAACTGTGGGGTAGCTTGAGAGCCAATCTTGGGTGGAGAGGGAATACATGTGGACTGATCAGAGGGGAGAATGCTGTGAAATTCCAGGAAGTAAATAGGCAGGGTATACACCTCACCCGGCAGAGAAATTGGGCTAGTGGACAGGGAGGGGAAAAGCCTGGTTAGGGGCCAATCACACGATTAGGCCCCTTCCCTCAGGAGCATCTCTCTGGGCTTGGAGAGATTGCCCTGAGCTCCATATCGGTGGCTCCCCTTAGCAGCCACGTAAGCAACCTCTGAGTCCTGCTGAGGCTTAGCAAAGCCCCTCAAGCTCTCCCATTCCAGCCACGATCTGTCTTGTTCCTCACCCATCTCAGGGGGAGTAGGGAAGAAGCAACTCCCTGGGAGCTATAGGGCCCCTCCTAAAGCTTGGAGCATCCATGTGTCCCACCTGGGGGACCAGAGCCTACCATGGGCACAAAAGATTACTTTGGCAGCTGGCTACTCCACACAAACTACAATCAATGACAACGGGAACAACCCCATAGCTGAACATAGTGCCTTCCAACTCAAACAATTAAGGAGCAACTGATTCATACCCATAAGTACAATCCACCAGATTGGAGTGTAAGCTGGGTGGCCAAACTCACTACATTCCGTTGAGAAGAGGAGGAGACAACGGGTCAGAGGTAACCCAAGCAGTTCCTCAAACCTGTTAAAGTACTATAAAGGCAACTCAGGAAGAGCACTCCTCTCCACATCACGGTCAGGCATTCACCTTTGGGGCCCCAGAGACAAGGCCATGAGCCAGCCACAGCAATCCCAGGTCTTTACTGAGAAGCCAGATGAGAAGGAATCAGTGAAAGAACTTCAGAAACATGAAAAATCAGAGTGAAAGGATACTCCCAAAAGAAATCAAAAACTCCTTACCAGTGGATACCAAGCTAAGTGAAATGGTCAAAATG